TCAGAAGCAAACTGCTGCAGCCTCTTTTAGCTTGTGTGATTTTCCCCATTCATAACTTTTGCCATCTTAACCGCACAGATGTTGCTTGACCACATGTCCTCGTTTCTTCTGTGATAAGAGGGTCTGTGATTTTTTTAAAAATGGAATGTTTTAGCTGGTTGAAAACCAAAAATGCCTGTTGATGCATGTAGTTCATTCTTCAGCTGCAACTATTTTACCCTCATGTACCATCTTTTCGGAGGCAACTATCGTCAAACATTTTCATATCCATCAATATCTGTGTTAACAATACATAGCTAAAACCAGTTTCCAGACCTAATCACGCCAGTGTTCCCGGAACGAGAAGATGGGATGACAAAATCGTTTGGATTTAAAATTGTGTACAGCTATAATCCAGGAATTGCATCTTAGAAGAGTCATGCTATACATGTCTAAGAAGTGACTTAAGCAGGAAGACAAGTGTAGGATCCCAACATTGGACAAATGTTGGGTATTGGAGTTATGTATTAATGGGAGTTTTTTTTTCCTGAAATGAAAGTTGCCATTTTAAAGCTAGATAATGTCAAAGCTAAACAGAATTCCTTTGTGACTTTAAGCACAACAGGCTCAAGGTTTCACTTTACAACTGTTTGGAGTAATGCATTGCAAAGATGAGGCACAACATAAAAAGTGGGCTATTTGTAGAATTCTTTGTATTAAAATTTAAGAAGAAATTATAATTAAAAGCTGAGTTTTAAGACTGAATTTTTGTACGCTTTTTCCTTCGTTCCTTGAGTCACCTGTACAATTCTTTATTGCAAATTATAGTTTTGAAATCCCTTGCCTAGGAAATGTGTACGTGTTGGGAGGAAAAGAAAAGAAGGCTTGAGAGCAACCTGTTAAGAAACCTCCAACCCAAAGGTGTTACCCACTCTTCCTTTATTTATTTTACTAATTTTGTCTCTTAAGAAAAAAAATAACACCTTATCCGATCCACAGACACACATTGAAGACACTCTCTTATTTATATAAGGTCAGCCCTAGGCATTTTTGTTGTGTGCTATAAAGAAAAAGTGGGGTGTAGCCATAGTGGGATTTTCTTGGGGGGGCACCATGGTAAAATCCTTGTGCCAGCAGGACTACTGACCAAAAGGTCGACAGTTGAAATCCAGGGATGGGGTGAGCTCCCATCTGTCAGCTTCAGCTCATGCGGGGATATGAGGGAAGCCTCTTACAGGATGGTAAAACATCCAGGCATCCTTGCAGACAGCCAATTTTATTTATTTATTTATTTATTTATTTACTCTATTTGTATACCGCATATATCAGCCTGAGGCGGCGACTCAATGCGGTTTACAATAAAAAGCAACACTAAACAATGTATGAGACACACAATACAGACAAACACATAATCATCAACGCCACACTTAGAATCAGATTCCGATCTCAAGATCCTTTTTCCATTCCTTGTCCGATGCCGTCATTATTGAGTTAGTTGCCGAAAGCCTGCTCGTAGAGCCACGTCTTCACCCTCCTCCGAAACACCAGTAACGAAGGGGCCTGCCTGATGTCCACCGGTAACGCATTCCATAGCCGAGGGGCCACCACCGAGAAGGCCCTGTCTCTCGTGCCCGCCAGCCGCACTTGTGACGCCGGCGGAACCGAGAGCAGGGCCTCCCCGGAAGATCTTAACGCTCTTCCCGGTTCGTAGGAGGAGATGCGTTCGGAGAGGTAAGTGGGGCCGGAACCGTGTAGGGCTTTATAGGCTAAAGCCAGCACCTTAAATTGTGCCCGGTAGCGAATTGGCAGCCAGTGGAGCTGGTTCAGCAGGGGGGTGGTGTGCTCCCTGAGTGCCGCTCCTGTTAGCAACCTGGCTGCCGAGCGCTGGACCGTCTGAAGCTTCCGGGCAGTCTTCAAGGGCAACCCACGTAGAGCGCGTTGCAGTAATCTATGCGGGATGTGACAAGAGCGTGGACTACCGTGGCCAAGTCCGACTTCCCAAGATACGGGCGCAGCTGGCGCACGAGCCGGAGCTGTGCAAATGCTCCTCTGGAAACCACTGAAACTTGGGGTTCCAAGCTTAGCGAAGAATCCAGAGTCACACCCAAGCTGCAAACCTGCGTCTTCAGGGGGAGTGCGACCCCGTCTAACACAGGCTGTAACCCTATACCCTGTTCGGCCTTTCGACTGACTAGGAGTACCTCTGTCTTGTCTGGATTGAGTTTCAATTTGTTCACCCTCATCCAGTCCGACACAGCAGCCAAGCACCGGTTCAGGACCTGGACAGCCTCCTTAGTAGTAGGTGGAAAGGAGTGACAGAGCTGGACGTCATCTGCGTACAGATAACACCTCACCCCGAAACTCCGGATGATCTCTCCCAACGGCTTCATGTAGATGTTAAACAGCATGGGGGACAGAATTGAACCCTGCGGGACCCCACAAAACAATGGTTGTGAGGACGAGCAGGTGTCCCCCAACAACACCTTCTGGGCGACCCTCCAGGAATGACCGGAGCCACTGCAAAACAGTACCTCCAAGACCTATTCCCACGAGGGGTCCCAGAAGGATACCGTGGTCGACGGTATCGAAGGCCGCTGAGAGGTCCAGCAGCACCAACAGGGACACACTCCCCCTGTCGAGCTCCCCGCAGATCATCCACTAAGGCGACCAAGGCTGTCTCGGTACCATGTCCCGGCCTAAAGCCAGACTGTGCCGGATCCAGATAATCAGTGTCTACCAAGAATGCCTGGAGTTGTGAGGCCACCACACGTTCCAGGACTTTGCCCAAAAAGGGGAGATTGGAAACAGGCCGATAGTTGACGAATTGAGTGGGGTCCAGTGATGGTTTCTTCAACAGCGGTTTTATAACAGCTTGCTTTAAGCTGGCTGGAATTTTGCCTTCCCGAAGGGAGACATTAACCACCACCTTCACCCACTCGGCCAATCCCCCTCTGGCCTCCTTTAGAAGCCAGGATGGGCAGGGGTCTAGGATGCATGTGGTTGCTCTCATCCCTCCAAGCACCTTGTCCACATCCTCAGGTTTCACAAATTGAAACGAATCCATCAAAATTTTCTCACACCAGAAATGACTTGCAGTTTCTTGAGTCGCTCCTGACACTGGAAAAAATGTAGTTTGGAGAGGCATCAGAACTCTGTATAGCAAAGTTTCCCAAACTGTGTTCCTCGACATGTTTTGGACTTCAGCGCCCACAATTCCCCACAGCTGGGAAACTGGTTGGGATTTTTGAGGGTTGCTGTCCAAAACACTTGGGAACACAGTTTGAGAGACACTGCTCTACAGAATCCTAAAAGGCCGCTGCTAAACTGCAAATCCCTGAATTTTGTAGGACGATTCCATGACTTTTTAAAGTAGAATTGTATAATTGCCGCATGTTAAAGGGCCCTGGGTTGTATGGCGTATAGAGATCCTCAAGAGCAGCTGAAAGCCACTTCAACCCACACAATTATGTGGTGTCACTTTTCAACCCACACTGTGTTGGATAATGCAGAACGTGAGGTGGCCGCCACCTCTCCACAAAAGACAACATTGACACTGAAATACAACAGTGCCTGAGCTCTCTGAGTCCAGATGCCCGACCACCGTCTCGGAAAGCAGTTGCTCTATTCCAAACTCAAGAACAGAAAACAGAATGTTGGTGGGCAGGAAAAGATATTTAAAGATGGGCTCAAAGCCAACCTTAAGAATTCTGGCATAGACACTGAGAACTGGGAAGCCCTGGCCTTTGAGCACTCCAGTTGGATGTCAGCTGGGACTAGCAATGCTGCGGAATTTGAAGAGGCACGAATGGAGGGCGAAAGAGAGAAACATGCCAAGAGGAAGGCGTGTCAAGCCAACCCCAACCGGGACCGCCTTCCCCCTGGAAACCAACGCCTTCACTGCGGGAGAAGATGCAGATCAAGAATAGAGCTCCACAGTCACCTATGGACTCACTAGCACACTGATTTTGGAAGACTATCCTACTTGGACAACGAGGGATCAACTAACTAACTAACTGTAGAACGTTGGATGAGAGAAGGTTAGATAAGTGAGACTACTGTACATGTGAATATATATCACTGAAGAGAAGACTACTCAAACAAGTTTTTGACTTTTCTCTGGAAAATCATCCTTTTACAAAAGGTTATGATTTTCAAATGGTTGTGAATGCCATTTTTCCCCAAAAGGTTGTGGAGATTCCGGTTTTCCTAAAGGTTATGATCTCTAAAAGGTCGTGCCTTTCCAAAAGCCAAAGTTTGCCCAATGCTTTCGTAGAATGAACTTTGACTCCACTTCAACTGCTATGGTTCAATCCTAGAAAATCCTGGGAGCTGGAGTTTGGAGTATTTATTTATTGTGTCAGCAGCAAACCAAACAGTGGTGTTGCTATAAGAAGATCCTCCATTGTGCATGTAGCAGGGCTCAGGTTGCATTGCAGCAGGTGGTCAGTGGTTTGCTCTTCTCCACACTCGCATGTTGTGGATTCCACTTTGTAGCCCCATTTCTTAAGGTTGGCTCTGCATCTTGTGGTGCCAGAGCGCAGTCTGTTCAGCACCTTCCAAGTCGCCAGTCTTCTGTGTGCCCAGGGGGGAGTCTCTCATTTGGTATCAGCCATTGATTGAGCTTCTGGGTTTGAGCCTGCCACTTTTGGACTCTCGCTTGCTGGGGTGTTCCAGCGAGTGTCTCTGTAGATCTTAGAAAACTATTTCTTGATTTAAGTCATTGGCTGGCTGATATCCAAACAGGGGATGAGCCGGAGATGTCACTACCTTGGTTTGGGGTGAAGCAGCAGCAAGCACTCTTGGGCAGAAGACCTTTGGGGAAAGGCAACTCCCAGGACTCAATAGCATTGAGCCATGGCTGTTGGAAGTGGTGCCAAAGTGGTGCATGAAATCCACAAAGTGCTGTGGATGCGCTGGAGAGTTGAGTGAGTCCTGAGCCTGCTGCTTCTGTTTCAAAGGCATCGACCCCGCCCCTGGGCTTGAAAGGAGCAGAAGCAAGCCTGTATCTAGTAGCAGCCAAGGGAGGATGGTGGCAGCAGCAACAGGAGGAAGGCAGCGCCCCAGCCCCCAGGAACAGCCCCAGCCCCCAAGTGGGGGGTCTCCGGGAGAGGTGGGTCCCGCCCCCTCTTTGGCCCCCTCCAAAGCCCCTTGGGGTGCCTGCTCCCTCTTGGCAGGGCTTTCCCTTTGAGCCCCCCTCTTCCCTTTGAAATCAGGAGTGGGACATTGCCCTCTCCCCTCATTGCCCCCTCCAGCCCACCAAGACCTGGCACTGAGCATCTTTCACACTCTTGGATTCTTACAGGGATGTCACCAAGGCACCTGCCTGGTGTTTTCATATTACTTTTATTGGGGTGGAGATGGAAAAGGTTTTCTACATGGAAAGTAATTTTATTTCCTATCTATCTATTTCTCTCTCACACACACACACACACACTCATACATATACATACATGATAGGTGCATAAACTACTTTTTAATTATTTAACTCTCTCTCTGTTTCTCTCTCTCTATATATATATATATATACAGGTAGTCCCCGAGTTAGGAGCAATATAGGTTTATTCTGAAGTTGAATTTGGGGGGGGTGAGGGGGGGGGGAGGGGGGGTTTGTGGAGGAAAATGAAAAAAGCTTTTACACGCATTGTAATTTCATTTCATATATACTATTTATTTATTTATTTATGTCACTTTTATCCAGCCCATTTCAGCCCGAAGGCGACTCAGGGCAGAGTACAAATCAACAACAATTAGATGCCGTATATATTTCATATATATATGAATGTGTGTGTGTGTGTATATATATATATATATATATAGAGAGAGAGAGAGAGAGAGAGAGAGAGGTGCCCAAACTCTGCTTTTTAATTATCTCTCTCTCTCTCTATATATATATATATATATATGTACAGGCTCTGTACGTTTTCATATATATTTGTTTCATGTGTGTGTGTGTGTGTGTGTGTATGCCTAAACTGTATTTTTAATGGTTTCTCTCTCTCTCTCTCTCTCTCTATATATATATATATATATATGCAGGCTCTGTACATTTTCATGTATATTTATTTCATATGTGTGTGTGTGTATGTATGTATGTGTGTATATATATATATATATATATATATATATATATATATATATGCCTAAACTGTATATATATGAGTCTTCTCTCTCTCTCTCTCTCTCTCTCTCTCTATATATATATATATATATATATATATACAGGCTCTGTAAGTTTTCATGTATATTTATTTCATATATATATATGTGTGTATATATATATATATATACTGTATATGCCTAAACTGTAGTTTTTCATTGTTTCTCTCTCTCGCTTGCTCTATAAATATAGATTTTCATATAGATTTATTTCATATATATGTGTGTGTGTGTATGTGTATGCCTAAACTGTACTTTTTAATTGTTTCTCTCTCTCCGCCTCCCTCTATATACACACACACACACACAGAATCTGTAGGTTTTCATATAGATTTAGTTCATATATACATACACACACACACATCTTTATGCATATAAATGTGTGTGTGTGTCTGTTTGTATGTGTGTGTATGTATGTATGTATATGTGTGTGTGTGTGTGTGTGTGTGTGTGTGTGTGTGTATATATATATATATATATATATATATATATATATATATATATATATATGCCTAAATTGGGTTAAACAGTTGAGCTGTTGAACTTACTGACCAGAATCCGCGAGACGGCCTCCTGTTGTCAGTCTCAGCTGCTGCCAACCTAGCAGTTCAAAAACAAGCAATTGTGAGTAGATCAATAGGTACCGCTTTGGCAGGAAGATAATAGCACTCCATGCAGTCATGCTGGCCACATGACCTAGGAGGCACCATTGTCTCTTCAACTTAGAAATGGAAATGAGCACCACCCCCCAGAGTCAGATTCAACTAGACTTAATGTCAAGGGGAAACATTTTCCTTTACATTGTCAAGGGGAAACATTTTCCTGTATATGGTGCTAGGGTGTTGTACATTAAAAACATAAAATAAAGGAGTTGTGAAATATTGAAACCCCTTTGTGACTTATGTCCAGTTTTTGCTGTATTCACATTCCAGTTGATACTTTGCTTGTCCCTTTCCTTTGTATACCTAAACTGTATTTTTTTATTGCTCCTCAGAAGTTTCCGCAATGCTCAAAATCTAGGTAATGAAGAAAAATTTCATGGAATGGGTCAATGCCACTACTTTTGCCCACAGCTATACCCATCATGGATGGAGACACATTGGAAAGTCACAAAAGGATTTCAATATTTACTAACAGAGGCAAAGGAGATTGAGGGGTAGGAAAAAATAGGTCTTTAAGTGCATCTGCACTGAAGAATTAATACAGTTTGATACCACTTTGGCTGCTGTGGTTTAATGTTTGCAAGCATGGGAGTTGTAGTTGTAGTTTCACAGAGTCATTAACTTTTGCTGCCAATTAAGTGCCTCACCAAACTATAATGCCCAGAATCCTGTAGCATTGAGTCATAGCAGTGAAAGTGGTTTCAAACTGCATTCATTCTACAGTGTAGATGCACTCTCAGAAGGAGGGGTTGGAGGAAGTAAGTGGGCATAAAGGAGAAGGTCCTGGAGAAATGCCAGTGAAAATGAGCAAATAAAACGAAACTTTCTTTTGTCAAAGACAACAGGAGAAAAGGAAAAGCTCTATTAGTGTACACATCTTTGTCTGAATGATAAGGCAGTTTTGGAATTTTATCTGAGAGTCCCACACTCTGTCGCTCCTTTTCACTCCTTTCGAACTGCTACTGGCCTTTTCTGATAATTTTTTTAAAGACCGTGGCGATACACTGATATTTGACTGGGAACTTTTGAAAGGCAATTCTGCATATGAATATATACCCCTTTATATTGTTCCAAGTTTGGTTTCTTTTTATTGTTCAGTATTAAAATCCACAAATTAAAATGCATTCCAGAGGAAAACCGCTACTATTTAAATCCTCTTAAAAGTGATTCCTCCACATTTCTATTAGTGTAGAATCTGTAGCTACAAAGGGGTAACTATTGCAGGACTTCTATGGGGCTAACTATATAGGACCGATAGAGGTTTTCATCTATCTAAAGCAGGCATGGGCAAACTTGGGGGTCGCATGCTAGCACTCCTTGCTACAAGGAATGGCTGCCCGGTGATGGTAGGGAAGGAGGAGAGAAAGAGAGAAGGAAGGAAGGATGAAAGGGAGGAACTGAATGATAGAAGGAAAAACAGGGAGAAAGGGAAGGAGGGAGGAAAGAGAAAAGGGAGGAAAGACAAAAGGGAAGGAAGGGAAAGATGGAAGGAGAAAGAGGGAGCGAGGGAAGGAAGGAAAGACAAAAGGGAAGGAAGGATGAAAGGGTGGAAGGGTGGGATGGAAGGAAGGAAAGGAGGAAGGAAGAAAAGAGAGAAGGAAGGATGGAAGGAGAAAGGGAGGGAGGGAGGAAAGAGGGAAGGGACGAATGACAAAAGGGAAGGAAAGATTTAATAGTGGAAGGGAAGAATAGAAGAAAGGAAGAGAAGGAGGAAGGAAAAAGAAAGAAAGAAAGAAAGAAAGAAAGAAAGAAAGAAAGAAAGGGATGAAGCGAAGGATGGATGGAAGGAAGGAAAGGATAAAGGATAAAGGAAAGAAAGAAGGAAAGAAAGACAAAATGGAAGGAAGGAGAAAGAGGGAGGAAAGTGGAAAGGGTGGACTAAAGGGTGGAAGGGAAGGATAGAAGGAGAAAGGGAAGGAGGATGAAAGTAAGGGAGAAGGAAAAAAGAGATAAGCGAGGGAAGGATGAAAAGTGGAAGGGAAGGAAGGAAGGGAAGGAGAAAGGAAAGAGAGAACGAAGGAAGGACAAGAGGATGGAAGGGAAGAAGAAAGAGGGAGGGAAGGAGGAAGGAAGGAGGGAAGGAAGGAAGACCAGGATAGTGAGAGAGAGGAGGACCTGAGAAAAGAGCCCAAGGGGTCACATCTGACTCCTGGCCCAGGTTAGCCCATACCTGATCTAAAGCTATTATTTACCTATGCCCAAGAATTTCAGTGCTTTGGATAGAAAAGTGAAATGACACCTCACTTGATTGCTCTGCACAAGGAAAACAGTTTAATAAATGCCCATTGGCAACCTTTTTGAACTACTCCAGATCTGCTGCCTGGAGGCACCTGACTTTCTTAGTTCAGTTACAGAGCTGGCCTAGCATAATTTGAAACTATACATCTCTTAAAATACCCTATCTCAAAAGAAACTGCAAAAACAAGACAAAATATTGACTTTATTCTTTTAGAATTAATAATGTGCTTCCTAAGTGGATCTCTGCTATTGGCTGGTATGAGCTTCCTTCAAAACTTAGAACAGAGAAAGACTGTCCCTTGGCTTCATCAGCTGAAAGAAGGAGAACTCCTTAGCCAAGAGTGGCAGTTCTATATGTGGAGAGCCATAGCTGTCATATTAACTAATGCTTACAAATGCTTCAGAGTGCCTGTTTTTCTCTTTTAAAGAATAAGCAGATGCAATCTCTTACAAGAGAGTTATCAGTTGAGACAGAAGGATAATTTTATCCATCTGCATTTAACCACTGTGAGAAATGGCAACTTCATGCTGTAGTGGGCAATGATAACATTTCAGCATGTGCCTTAGAAATATTTGGGTGGACTCGATAGATAGTATTTCCAGTATATACTTGATTATAAATCATGTTTCCTTAATAGTAATAATAACAATAATAATAACACTTTATTTGTATACCGCCCTGTCTCCCCAAGGAGACTCAAGGCTGATTCCAGCATATACAGACACGAGGCAAACATTCAATGCCTCAAAACAATGAAACACAGATACACACATATAAAGGTAAAGGCTTCCCCTTCATCTCCAACTTTTGGGTTTGGTGCTCCATTTCTAAGCCAAAGAGCCTGTGTTGTCCATAGATATTGTTCGACAACAGACACCTCCTAGGTCATGTGGCCAGCATGACTGCATGGAGCGCCATTTACCTTCCCGCTGAGGTGGTACCTATTGATCTACTCACATTTACATGTTTTTGAACTGCTAGGTTGGCAGGAGCTGGGGATTACAGAGAGAGCTCACCTCATCCTGCAGATTTCAACCACCAACCTTTTGGTCAGCAAGTTCAGCAGCTCAGCGGTTTAACTAGTTGCGCCACCACGGCCCCTTGTCTCTTGTTTATGCATATACTACTTGGAATGTTATTATTTCCCCTAAATATTTTATTTTATCTTCAGTTATTTATCCAGGAGCTGAAAATACTAATATTTCTCACTCTCCCTGCCTCCCTGTCTTGACTGAGGGTGTAAATCTTCACTACTTTATTTTTCTCAAAGGAAGCATCAAATAATTTTAGCCATTTTCTTTCACTGAAAGAAAGCATTTGAAAACCTCACTGTTTTTGCAAAGTTATCTGCACATCATTGTTTTGCACAAAAAAATGAACTTTATCCACAGGTAATAGCTTTTTCTTCATTGAAAATACTGTTTCCTCCACAAAATGCTATTTTCTATGCAAATCAATCACACCAAGTTTTGTACAGCAAAAGTCCCCAATCACAGAATTGTTATGCACATGAAATAATATTTCATGTGCATGGAAAATGGTGTTTCATGTGAAGAAGAGGCTCATTTTAACCTTAGCCAGCAGTTCCCACTTTGGACTTTGTTCATCTTTTCAGATCAGATGCGAAGACACCCTCTCGATCTGCAGCAAATTGTGCTATGGCATTGGAGGAGCCCCAAACCAAGTTGCTAGCAGCGCTGCTTCATTCTTCCTTCAGATCTATCTCTTAGATATAGCTCTGGTAAGTAGTTTGGGAAAACCTCCCAGAATCTTGCAAACACTATAGCTATGGGGTTTGTTGTCTAAGGTGGAACTAGCAGAAAATTATTGGATTGAAGAAGGAGGAAAAGGTCTCTTGTGCCCCACCTTTTACAGCATCTGAAAAGGAGGGGATTACGCCCAGAGAAGATTTCCTTTATCACTTCAGTTACTTAAAGTGCATGTAAAGCAGTTCAGTATCACTTTAACTGCAATGAATTTGTAGTTTCACATAGTCTCTAGTCTTTTCTGCCAAAGAGTGCTGGTACCTCACCAAACTAGAATTCCCAGGATTCCATAGCATTGAGCCATGGTTGTTGAAGTGGTGTCAAACTGCATTAATTCTACAGTACAGATGCCCCCTTAAGTCAACCTCAGTAGGGAGACTGAATCTGTTCATTTCTTTTCTGTCCACTGATGGTCACATTGCACTTTTTTGGTCCTCTTTGTTTGGGAATTCAGATGTGTCAAGCACATTCAAGCAGACCTAAAACTATTTCCGGAGAGTAATAGGAGGAATGTGCACATCATGTTGAGAACCACTGACCTAGACCATCATACTTTGATACATCAGGTAAAAAGCTCCCTGGGAAGTATTCAGTGATTCCTGCACTCCACTGTAGTGAAACTATAGATACCAATTAAATAAGTATTGAAAAGAGTTTGGCAACATTTGCTTGATGGGGCATGCATAAAGCTTGCAATACCCTTCTGCCCTTTAATAACAAAAGCTGCAGGAAGAGCAGTTTTCATTCAAAAATTGTATTTTCTCCTTAGTCCGAAAAGCCTTAATTTTCCTCTTATTTTGGCCATTATCTCACAGACTGCATGAAAGCTGGCCATGGAGCATAGTTCATGAATTACTATGGAATTTGCTGTCCGTAAATATATAATATTACTAGTCTGTTCCTCCTTGGTGACAGAGAGTTTGAAACCTTCGATAGCCAAGTCTGTAGCTTTTAAACCATTGGTTCCCAACCTTTTTTTGACCAGGGATCACTTTGACCACTTTATCACTTTGACCAGGGATCACTCTCCAACATTAGTCCTAAAAGAGCTTTTGGTCAACTTTAGATTCAGTTTGGTTATTTGGGATGCTGAGTCAGAAAATTGCATTGGATGGACCACATCAGCTTTAGATTTCCATACATATGCCATCCAGTAGTCTCCATATGCTTGCCCACAGAAAATCATATTTAATAATCTAGAGCTGATGTGGTCTATCCAATGCAATTTTCTGAATCAGCATCCCAAATAACCCCAGGAACAGGTCTAAAAACGAAGGGCCCTCTGCTTCCAGGCACCACATGGAATGGCTCCACTCAGGGGAAGGGAGGAGGAGGAGAAGCAGCAAACAGGAGGCTTGTTGTTGCGCCTTTCATGGGTAGTCTGTCTCTCTCCTCCCAACATCCCCGTTGCCTCGCGAGACCAGTCACTCTTGTTGCAATGGTGTAGTTATGGTAAGGCCGTCGACCATATTTTAGTTCTTGGGTCCACTGGTGGTCCATGGACCATAGGTTGGGAACCACTGTTTTAAACAATGCCCCCCCCCCCAAAAAAAAACCCAATCAAAAGGCATCTCTAACAAAAGAACACTTTAACCAAGAGTATTTTGAGCATTTTGTTTTGTTTAGTTCTTTTTGGTGAATATACCTTTTTTTTGGGTCACACTTTGCTTTTTATTATTTCTCAGATCACTCCACTGCATGCTTCCTTGGTGCTCTTCATTGGCAGAGCATGCGGAGCAGCCGCAGATCCTATTGCAGGTTATTTTATTAATAAAAGCAAATGGACTCAAATTGGCCGACTCATGCCTTGGTAAGTATGCTAACTGTTTTGTTTGGTTTCCTTATTTGCTCATTGTGACATGCGTTTTCTTTTGTATTCTGCTCACATGCCATTTCATAGATTCATAGATATTTCCCAAGCAATGTTTATTTTAATTAGCATACTATTATTGTTGCTTTATAAACTTCCTGTTTTGAATCAAAAAACAAATTTTGCAATTATAAATTATAAAGGGGAGAAGACAGTTCTAAGAGATTTGAAAAAGAAACCAACAAACCCTTATATTCTTCCATTTTAAGTGGGGATAATTAATGGGTGGCTTTTTTCAATATAGAAATTTATTTGAATCATTATAGCTGCTGTGACAGAGCAAAAATATGCAAAAGGAAAAATATTACCAGTGGGATTTGTGTTGTTCTTATTGAGAGTTAGGGTTGGAGGAAATAATGAAAACTTTGTCTGAGGAAAAAAAATTAATGTTTCAGACATGATGGAAAAAATAGCTTTGGTGTAGGACAGAGATCCTCAAACTTTGTAAGACAAGGGCTAGTTCACTGTTGGGGAGCTGGACTACAGTTTGGAAAAAAAAATGAACGAATTCCTATCCACACTGCACATACCTTATTTGTAGTGCAAAAAGAAAAAAGAAAAAAAAAGGAAGAACAATACAATATTTAAAATGAAGAACAATTTTAACACACATAAACTTAACCAGTATTTTATTGGGAAGGGTAAGCCTGCTTTTGGTTGATAAGACAGTCAAGTTAATTAGGATTGTTGTTGTTGTGAGCCTTCAAGTTGTTTCAGAGATCAGGTGGCCATTAGTTTTCCAGACTGTATGGCCATGTTCCAGAAGCATTCTCTCCTGACGTTTCACCCACATATATGGCAGGCATCCTCAGAGGTTGTAAGGTCTGTTGGAAACTAGGCAAGTGAGGTTTCTATATCTGTGGAATGTCCAGGGTGGGAGAAAGAACTCTTGTCTGTAGGTGTGAATGTCGCAGTTGGCTGGCTTGATTAGTATTGAATGGTCTTCTAGCTTTAAAGCCTGATTGCTTCCTGCTTGGGGGAATCCTCTGTTGGGAGGTGTTAGCTGGCCCTGATTGTTTCATGTCTGGAATCCCCCTGTTCTTTGAGTGTTGCTTTTTATTTACTGTCCTGATTTTTGAGTTTTTTAATACTGGTTGCCAGATTTTGTTCATTTTCATGCTTTCCTCCTTTCTGTTGAAATTGTCCACATGCTTGTGGATTTCAATGGCTTCTCTGTATAGTCTGACATGGTGGTTGTTAAGAGTGGTCCAGCATTTCTGAGTGATCAAACAGTATGCTGTGTCCAGGTTGGTTCATCAGGTGCTCTGCTATGGCTGAATTTTCTGGTTGAAGGAGCCTGCAGTGCCTTTCATGTTCCTTGATTCGTGTTCGGGCAGTGCTGCATTTGGTGGTCCCTATGACGACTTGTCCACAGCTGCATGGTATAGGGTAGACTCCTGCAGAGGTGGGAGGATCCCTCTTGTCCTTTGCTGAACATAGCATTTGTTGGATTTTTCTTAGTGGGTCTGTAGATCGTTTGTAGGTTGTGTTTCTTCGTTAGCTTCCCTATGCAGTCAGTGGTTCCCTTGATGTATGATAAGAACACTTTTCCTCTGGGTGGATCTTTGCTCTTATGGCTTGTTCTTGGTCTCACAGCTCTTCTGATGACTATGTTGGAGTATCATTTCCTCCAATGCTCTCAACAAGAAGATGACAAATCCCACTGGCAATATTTTTCATTCGGCATCATTTTGCTCTGTCACAGCAGCCGTAGTAATTCAGATAAATTTATGTACTGAAAAAAAGCATCCATTAATTACCCCACTTAAAACAGAAACATAGAAGGGGATTTTTTGCTGTCTTTGTGTTGGATTCAAATTTCTTCATTCTATTATTTCTAGCAGGAAGACACAATCAAAATACTCCCAAGAGTTGGCCATCCTGCTTCTGTTTAATAACTTCAAGAAAGGTTATTAAACCTTGCAGAACTGATTGAATTTTCATAGTTTCCCTAAGTCGCTCCTCGTAGGGCTTTGACCTCTCGACTTTTGGTCATTTTGGTCACCCTTCTCTGTACACCTTCCAACTTGTCAAAACCCTTCTTGAATTGTGGTGCCCAGAACTGGGCATGGTTAGATCTGACCAAAGCAGAATAGTAACCATAGAAAGATCTTCCATGGGCAGCAGTGGGCAGAGGTTAGGCTGTGCAGGCCTCTGACACATATGCACCTTTGCAAGTTTTTACAAGAGCTCAAGGCATGGGACTTACCATGTTAGTGGTTATGTTTCAGCAGAATTTTGGCAACAGCCATTGTCACTGAATGGTCTGAAATGGGATCTATCGTTCTGCACAGAACATAATATTGAGTCCTAGTTGCATTGCCCCCTTTAAGAAGCAAACCCTTAAACCTCCCAGGCCATTTTCCCAATGAGGCCTGGAGAAGTGAGGAGGTAGAAATACAACAGTCTTCTTTTGCAAATAAAACGATCTGCAGGTAGCAGTTGTGAAAGAAAGCACCACACGAATGAAACCTGAGGTTCTTATAGGTTTTGCAACCTTCACACCTTCAAACATCTTCCTTTCCCATGCCCCCCTTTCCTTTCATCCTGTATCTGTTCCCTTTCATCTTATACATATTGTACTTTGATCAGTTGTTTATCAAAATAGTTCAAGAAAGCAATTTCCCCACAATTTCCCGATTACAATCATTGACAACATCAGTGGTTCTCAACCTGGGGTCCCCATAAGTTTTTGGCCTACAACTCCCAGAAATCCCAGCCAGTTCACCAGCTGTTAGGATTTCTGGGAGTTGAAAGCCAAAAACATCTGGGGACCCCAGGTTGAGAACCACTGGACTACATCAAACACCATTTGGACTTCCTGGGTCCTGTTTGAGGCTCTCACTTGGTTCAATCAATCAAAATACCATTTCTGTTTTGAACTTTCTTCCTTCATAATGTTTATTGCCCTGCCTGCCTGTGTGAGTACCCTGGCTTGACATTTCCATGCAGAACTTCAGTTGATCCCTTTTGCATAACTAAGGAAGGTGATTGATTGCTCTGCTTCTCTCCTTACAGCTTCCATTTGGTTGTGTTTTGTACGATTCTCACAGCAAACCCTTCTATTGATCTCTTCTAAACTCTTCTATTGATCTCTTCTCGTGAAAAAGACCGAGACTATTTATCTAATCAAACCTATTCTTCATACTATTGCTATTTATTAATCAATTTAGATCAGGTCTTTGTTCCTTTCAATGCATGATGTCAGTCACATCCGCTCTGAAGACCAACTGATACATAAGGTTTTAAACTCTGTGTGTTATTGTTTATATGTAAGTTATATTAATTATACTGTTTTATTTGCTTGCTGTTTTGTTTTTACTGATGTGTTGTTGGGCTTGGCCTCATGTAAGCCACCCCAAGTCCTCTTATTTAAGGAAAATAATAACATTCCAAGTAGTGTGTGCATAAACAAGAGACAAGGGGCCGTGGTGGCGCAACTGGTTAAACCACTGAGCTGCTGAACTTGCTGACCAAAAGGTTGGTGGTTCAAATCTGCAGGATGAGGTGAGTTCTCTCTGTTAGCCTCAGCTCCTGCCAACCTAGCAGTTCAAAAACATGTAAATGTGAGTAGATCAATAGGTACCACCTTAGATGGTGGCGGCGTATAAATAAAGTATTATTATTATTATTATTATTATTATTATTATTATTATTATTATACATCAGATCTAAAAAAAAGCTGAATCCTCTGAAGCAAGGTCATACCACAATTTCAGTGTCAAAATTCTATTGCTGTTTCCTTAAAAGGTACACAACAACACATTGGATCTGAATGCAATCATTCACTACCCTGAAACTTCACTGATCATAGTAGTTTCCCCCTCCTGTCCAGTTTTGGGATGCTTTTCATCATTCCTATGTTCCCTTTTAATCTCCACTCTCTTTTTGTTTGCTTGCTTGCTTGCTTAGCATATTGTGACATTAAATGTTGAGCAACCAGATCATGGCCTTGCCATCCTTCATATCCAGCTTCTCTGTTGTTTTTCATTCCCTAGAGTGGGTTGGAAGAGTTATTGCACCGAATTAATGTTCTCTTGTATACAATCCTCCCCCAGCACTCTTCAATCCACGATTGTAAATAATCAGCTGACACACACACTGCATGAATGGCGGTGGGTGAAAAAAATACTGTGCAAATAATGCTGTTCTGATGGGATTAATCTGCATTGTCTGTCCATTGAGAGGTTTTTTTTTTCCAAAATAGCATCCATGGTCATCTAATTACATTGTGCCTCGGCTGCTTTACAAGAACACTGGAGAATTCTGCCATAGCTAGAGGTCCTGCTCTGGGGAATGAATTGCATCTGCTCATCATTCACAAATAACAAACAAAACAAAGCTAGAATACGCTTGATTCTCTCTCCTGGTTTTACATCAGCTTGACTGCCATTCTGTCTATCAGCCCCAAGTGTCATTACAAGGTTTGTTTAGAACCGTGTTTACTCACTGAAGAGCTGCTCTACATTTCCTTGGAGTCTTTGCCTTCCAAATTAGCGGAAGCATCCAGGAGTCATAAAACACAAGGCTGGCTAAAGAGTACTCATCTTCATAGTAACAGAGGTGCCTAAGGCAATCCTTACACATGTCTGAAAATGTAGCAGTCATGAGTCTTTCCAGTGCCTTTGACCAGGTGGAGCTGTAAAAAATTCCTATAATATGAAGCACCTCTTCTTTTTATAATATGTAGTAGGTAAATTAAATAACAAGCTTCCAATCTAAAAGCCATGGGAAATTATGCTGACCAGAAGGTTGGTGGTTCAAATCCTCGGGACAGCTTGAGCTCCCGCTGTTAGCCCCAGCTTCTGCCAACCTAGCAGTTCGAAAACATGCAAATGTGAGTAGATAAATAGGTACTGCCTCAGGAAGGTAAATGGCACTCCATGCAGCCATGCCGGCCACATGACCTTGGAGGTGTCTGTTGTCGAACAATATCTACAGACAACGCAGGCTTTTTGGCTTCGAAATGGAGCACCAAACCCAAGAGTCGGAGATGAAGGGGAAGCCTTTACCTTTATATGTGTCTAATGGAAATGGAAATGAGCACCATCCCCAGAACCAGAGATGAGTCCCCCCACCAAGCATTTACCTTTATCTGTGTGCTATTGTTTCTAAGCATTGAATGTTTGCCTTTGCATCTGTATGTGCTGGAATCAGTCTGAGTCCCCTCGAGGAGATAAGGCAGAATACAAATAAAGTATTATTATTACTATTACTATTTGAAACACAACAAGATGATTCCACATCAGACAAGATCATTCTGCTGGCTGTTGTATTGGATCACACGTCGGACACTTCCCAAGTGTCTAGGACTTTGTGATGTATCAGCGAATAATGCGTGCAGATCCCAAGGTTGCCTTCTGCTACTGGCAGATGGTAATTTTGTCAGCACCGATTGTCTTTAAGTGCATGCCAAGGTCTTTAGGCACTGCACCCAGAGTGCCATAGATGCAGGCGAAACGTTAGGAGAGAATGCTTCTGGAACACGGCCATACAGCCTGGAAAACTCACAACAACCCAGTGATTCCAGCCATGAAAGACTTCGACAACACATTAAGTAAAAATGATTTGACTAGACTAGAGCATGCCCTCATTTTTTTCACTTTTTAAAAATTTTGAAATGTATATTTGATATGCACTGCATTTTCTTTTTTTCAGGTTACTGGGTTGCACACCCTTTCTCGTTGTGTCCTATTTCTTACTATGGTACTTACCTCCCTTCATATCTGCAAGAGTTGTATGGTATCTGGTTTTCTACTGCCTTTATCAAGCACTGTCTACAGTAAGTTTATCAATACCAAATTCCTTTTTCTCTGCTGGTGTGAATGCTGTATCTTTCTAAACAGAAGTTGGGAGAGTGAGTTTGCTCAACAATAACTCTCACAGGCCCCCATCCAAGACAGCCAGCATCCATATGGGCTGGAAGATATGGGGAGCTATACTCAAGATTATTTATTTATTTATTTATTTATTTATTTACAGTATTTATATTCTGCCCTTCTCACCCACAGGGGACTCAGAGTAGATTACAATGCACATATACATGGCAAACATTCAATGCCATTAGACATACAACATATATAGACTGACAGAGGCAATTTAACATTCCAGCTTTCCAGCTTCATGAGGGTATGCTCGATTCCGGTCATGGGGGTGGGAGCTGCCGCTTCACCATCCATTTGTGATGACGAGTCCTTGATGGAGTACTTCCTCATTCTTACACACGCTGCTGGAAGGTTTTATGGTGTTGGAAATTAGTTAAATTAGCCTCCCCACATAAAGTGGTACTTAAATTTTCTACTTGACAGATGCAACTGTCTTTCGGGCTGCATAGGTCAACAGCAAGCTAGACTATTAATGGTCGGGAGCTTACTCCGACCTGCTTTGAACTCATGACCTCTCTGTCAGTAGTGATTTAATGCAGCTAACTACTAACTAGCTGCGCCACAGGCCAGTCCATACACCAGTGAATCAGAATTACTTCGAAAGTTAAATGAGACACCTCTCAATATAAGAGTGGAATGAAGAACACTGCCCCCCTACAGCAACACGATTAATTTAGCAACGCAGAAAGATTTGACATTCTAGCATCCATCACCTTTTAAAGAACGTGAATCCTACTATCATATTACCCAAATTTGGGTGGTTAAGGCCCTGAAGCAGTTTTTTTTAATGCTCTTTAAAATTTGACTCCTACATTTGTTGAACATGTAAGAGTGCTTATTGAAAAGGGGGAAATGATGTCACATCTGTTTGGCAAATGTGAATCTCCATGAACATGTGGAGACCACCTTTTGAAAACCACTAACCAAGAAAAGCATGACCTTGTTAGAAGTCAACTCTTTGAGCAAGTGATATTCGCAAGTATTAATGTCATTGCACACAGGTAACTCAGCTGTTAAACTGAAGAACCATGCCTTTAAACGGCCAAGGATAAAGACCTGCCACTACAAACATATATTTGGTTAGCTGAGGATGGTTGTTTCTTTGAAACTGAAATTTGCAGTTGCCCATCTACTCTCCCTTAAAACCTCTTACTTAAAACATGCATTCAAGAGACAACAACAACAACAACAAGAACTACTTTATTTTTCTACCCCGCCTCCATCTCCACGAAGGGACTCGGGGCGGCTTACATGGGGCCAAGCCCAGGCAAAATACAATTAAAAGCAAAGCAATAAATTAAAATAGTATAAAACATCACAACAATAATAAACAGGCACCAAGCAACAGCAAACTAATTTTGGAGGGGAAAGGGGCCACTATGCAAACTGGTTAAAGGATAGTGGTTCAATAAGGTGGATAGAAACGTATAATAGCATAGGAAATAGCATGGAAACAGAGCAATTAAATAGGATCAGTTCAACTTAAAATATATATAGTGATGAAATATATCCTTGATGGAGTACTTCCTCATTCTTATGCACGCTGCTGGGAGGTTTTATGGTGTCGTAAGTAAATCTGAGATGTTATTTTCAAAGTAGTCTTCTTATTGTGTGTGTGTGTGTGTATGTATGTATAGATAGATGATAGATAGATAGATAGATAGATAGATAGATAGATAGATAGATAGATAGATATTTGTACCCTGCCCTTCTCAATTCCCCCCCCCCCCGGGGGGGGGGGAGACTCAGTTCACCATACAGGCACATTTCTTATTAAAGTTCAGTTAGATAAGATGTAGTTTCTTCTCTGTGTTGAGTACATAGGGTATGTTACTTAATCAATTGTCTATAGTCTTTAAGTATAGCTGCACTCACTGAAGTCCATAAGTCATACTTATCTACTAAAGTCCAAACAGCAACATGCATCCACCTCCATTGAGGTCTAAAAGCATACTGTATAACAAACATGGAGTCCCACAACAAAGAGGTACAGTCAAACTGGCAAACCAAAATGTACATACAATATAGGTTAACAATTATACACATTTACAATTAGTAAATCAGGCTTGGAAGGTTGCTATTTCCAAAAAATGTCAGAGGGTGGGATTCTTCTTCTCAAGCTGCCAATTTTCCTTTTATTTTGTGTTTTATATTTATATTTGATTTTTGATGTTGTTTTTAAATGCTGGAATTGCAAAATTGTGCTAAAACAAAAATTAAGAAACAGTTGCAGTGTGGAAAGGAGGTTACAAGAGTGTGCAAAAATAGGATCACAGATTGGTAAATTTGCACAATTACCCTAATATAAAGAGGCGAGATATCTGTGCTGTTCAATGTGATACGTATCTGCTATCAATGTTTGTGCAGCTGCAGTAGAATAGTAGATTTGTGCAATAAAGTCCTGTTAGACTGGTGGAAATGGACTACGCTATTTTTCTTTTTAGCACTGAGCCCCGTAACTTGTGGGAGGCACGGAGCAATTGCTTCAATTGAACTTTTGGTGTAGTATGGGAAGCTGCAGTGTTACCCACTATTTTCAGATCCCATTGGGTCAGTGGAGCAGTGTACGTGTTCTCTGAATCATTTGTCACAAGGATGAAAAACAGAGTAGCTAGGAGTTTCTTTCTTCATTGAAATCTTTTGAAGCGGATGTTCCCGGAGCAGGTGCAGCTATGAAATGTTCTCTCAAAGATCTCTCTTTAATCGGTAAAGAAAGAAGGGCTTTTAGAAGTCAGAGATGAATTCTTCTTTCTTTGTTCATCAGAGATCTTTACTCAGTTGCTTTGCTAGAGTCTGTATGGAAACACGTCATGATACAACAATGCTTTCCATTTAGAATGACTTTTTCTCTTATTCTTTGAAGGCAAAGGTGTACCCCACCCACACAAAATGCTTTTCATTACTCCACATAAATGTGGCTCAAGGTCAATCATATACCTTCTTCTATCCATATTTGTTCCCACCCCATTGGTCTTAATATCTCCCATGTTCGTATTCAAGCTTTAGAGGGTTCGTGCCTTCACATGTGAGGCCTCCTGCTAGTTTATTTGCTGTGTCAAAGCAGCACCTGGGATTTTTAATCAGTCCTTCAGTTCATATAGGATCCCATGCACACAGCCATTGAACTAACACACCAAGTCAATCTAAATTGAAGGCATTGTTGTATCTTTATTTTAATGTTGTGTTCAGTTTGTATTTCAGTCTGTACTATAACTTGATCTTAGTCTTAATACATGATTCCGTTTTGTGAGTGGGGGTTTACCATGATGAGATGTTCCCTCCCATGTGGAAATATTCCTATTTATTGCCATACGAAACTAGACTAGAGCTTCTCATTGACACATGAAGGTGTGGAGGTTGTGGATCTAAGACCCGTCCACACAGCTGAATAAAATCCCAAATTATCTGCTTTGAACTGGTATATATGTCAGTGTGGACTCAGATAACCCAGATCAAAGCAGATATTGTGGGATTTTCTGCTTTGATATACTGGATTATATGGCTGTGTAGAAGGACCCTATGCAACCCTGTGAGATAGGACAAGACTGCAATACTATGCTCCAACAAGCTAAAATATTTGCTGCTAACACTCTTTCTAACATATTTGGGGACTTAATGACTAGTTACTGTTTACTTCTACAAAAGCTTTCTTTGAACATAGGGAATATTGAGAGCTTTGCAACTTATATAATCCTTTCTTAAGAAGATCGACATTTCTCCTTGGAAAGCTCACAGATAGAGATCTCCTAAGGGTATAGTGGTGAAGATATTACATCCTTCTGTCCTTGATGGATACTTTGGAGTTAAGGGAAGAAAGGTGAAATAAATGCATTGAGCCATAGCACTCCAAGTAGTGTCAAACCGCATTGGTCCTACATAATAGATGCATCCTAAGGCTAGATGAACACTGATCTATAATCCAAAGCCGATCCAGTGTGTCCAACATTGAATCAACTCCGGGTGGGGTCTGCACAAGGACTCCACCAAGTTCTACAGGACGAATCTGCTTGTATACCGACCAGGGTGGTCAGTGCAGATGTGGTCTAAGATCTCAAGAATATCACTTTAAAAACTCATACACCCTTTAGAATGGATGTTACAAAATAATGAAGGCAAAGCCATTCATAAAACCCATATTGAAATAAAAAATGTTGTCAAGAGTTTTTAGGCTGATAGTGATGGAACTATATACTTGTATTTATCTATTTTACAGTTGTTCCAGGTATCATATTCCTCCCTCACAATGTTTCTCACCACGGAGCAGAAGGATAGAGACTCTGCAACAGCTTATAGTGAGTGTGATTTTTTCTCTCCATAAAATGTAACTGTATTTTCATTGAAATCTGTTAGCTGGGCCAGCCAAACAGTCAATGGTAACTATTACTAATGTTACTAGTAATGGGAACTAATGTGACTAAAAGTACATTTTAAAGAATGAAATAGTGCCACAATATGGTTGGAGGTATGTACAAGCAATTTTATTTGTGGTAGGAAATGGAAATAGCATTATTGATCATAAATGTTATGACAGTAACAGTAAACCAAAAAGAATAGAAATAAAAAATGAAGTGGTACAGCCGTTGTAATTTCAATTGCGGTCACTGAAGTTCAAAAGTATTTCTGTGTCCCAATGATGGCAAGTAGAGAATCTACCACAAGTAGAGAATAACTGCTGAATGCATCTGAAGTAATTTCTCTGTGTGTGCATGTGTATTTAAGTTTTTTGCCGACTTTGGTATTGCCGTCCTCTGAAATTCAGCCTGCAGTACCTGGTATTCCTTGGAGATACCTAACTTCCAAGATCAAAGGAGATCTAGTGCTTTCAGGATATCTAGATCTTCTGAACTGTTACAAACCTCATCTGTGCTATATCTGTGCTTTTTTGATCCATAAATCCCAGAATTGTAGAAGTGTTGTGTTTCTCTACTTTAGGGATGACATTTGAAGTTCTAGGCACCTTGGTTGGAGCTGCACTCCAGGGGCAAATAGTTGCCAGCGCTCATGCTCCTGATCACTGCCAATACAACCATTCCATAGAAAGTTCGTACTCCACCAGTCTACAAGAAAACATTTCCATCATCCACGACCTGCCTCATGGAGTAAGTTGGAAAGCTCTTAGAAGTCTTTCAAGGGCATCATATCTCTTTGTTCTACTGTTCAAATATATTACCTTGGTAATGGAGCCCCTGGTGGCGCAGTGGGTTAAACCCCTGTGCCAGCAGGACTGAAGACCGACAGGCCGCAGGTTTGAATCCAGGGAGAGCGCGGATGAGCTCCCTCTATCAGCTCCAGCTCCTCATGCGGGGACATGAGGGAAGCCTCCCACAAGGATGGTAAAAACATCAAAACATACGGGTGTCCCCTGGGCAACGTCCTTGCAGACGGCAAATTCTCTCACACTAGAAGCTACTAGAAGCGACTTGCAGTTTCTCAAGTCACTCCTTACATGACAAAAAAAACCTTGGTAATAATGGCATTCAAATATAGATAGCCTGGGATGACTTTGACTGACCCAATGAAACATATTGGATAGATGAAATTTCATGTAATGACTAAGAAGCTAAAAACATAGGCAAAAAATGTTGGTTTTGCTGTTGTTGACTAAGAAGCTACTTGCATTACAGGTTAGCAAAATTTTGTACCATAAATCTTGAAGGTATATCAATAAAGGAAATGTACTCATACTATATCCACAGCAAAATAATACTAATCAGAATAGGAACATATACTTCCAGTGAACCCACCTAAACCAGCCCTATTTTAACTAAGCGTCCTGTTCTTCTTGTCCTTGGTCCATCTCTATCAGTTGGTTGTTCAGTTCTAGCTTAATTCTTTCTTCTACAACTCCAGACTTCTTCTCTCTGCCTGTGTCTTTTTAACCTTCTGTTTCTGGCTTTTATCCTTCCAGAGCAGGTTGTTCTCTCAAACGTCAGCCAGCCAGGAGAGTAGTGTCGTATTCATTCCTGCCCATTAACATCTTCTTTCCCAAGTTGTACTCTTTAGCCTTGTGGTGAGCTTCATAGCATCCTGCTATATTGGCTACTTAAAAAATGAACTTTTAAAGATCCCACTTCTTGAGCTAAAATGTCCTTACATGATGCTTGAAGGTAAGAGTATGTGACAGCACCAAGGAGAGAGGTCAATTTTCATCCCAGTGAGCTGTGCTTTTTTTGTCCCAGTGGAATACACAGAAACCTGTCTGACATCCTAGAAGTGACTTGCTATCACTTCTGGTTTTGCTTTTTGAGTGGGGGAAGATTTGAGTGAACCTAGCAAAGCTATTGCATTTGGAGTTGGGTTTGCAATGTTTTTATTTTCAGGCAAAAAAAATCACACTTTTTAAATAAATGGGTTATTGGATAGTATCCTGGGCTCAGGTGAGCACAGCAAGCCCTCAGGGACATACTTATCCTGCCCCAGCTTGATTCAAAAGTTGGGATCTTTGTTAGATAATTACTCTTAGAGTTGAAAGAGGTGGCCACCACAAAGTGGAAAAATTAAAACCTCCTTCACAGTATCGTAAATGATCAAGATTGTCCATACTTTGCCCAAGTTGTTTAGACTAGGGCTTGGAAGGACAGCTTTGAAGGAGCTAGACATGGTTCTGTGGTATAAAGATATATCCTTGAATTCAAAATTAGGATGGCCCATGCCATCATATTTCCAATGTCTGTGTGAAAAGTGGATGGCGAAGAAAGCAGATAGGAAAAGACTCTTTTCTATTATTATTATTATTATTATTATTATTATTATTAGATATACAACAAGGTTAGTACACAGCAAACAAGATCACTATGCTGGCTTTTGTATTTGATCACATGTCAGACACTTCCCAAGTGTCTAGGACTATGTGATGTATCAGTGAACAATGGGTACAGATCCAAGTAGGGTGGCCCTTTGCAGCTGACAGAGGGTAATTTTGTCAGCGCTGATTGTTTTTAAGTGCAGGCCAAGGTCTTCAGGCACTGCACCCAGTGTGCTAATCACCACTGGGACAACCTTTACTGGCTTGTGCCAGAGTCTTTGCAGTTCTATCTTTTATTATTATTATTATTATTATTATTATTAGTAGTAGTAGTAGTAGTATTGTTATGTATATTTATACCCTTCTTTTTCTCTCCACAAGGAGACTCAGAGCAGCTTGAGGCATGGTGCTGGAGAAGAGTTCTGAGGTGGACTGCTTGAAAAATAAACAAATGTGTCCCAGAGCAAATCAATATTGAACTCTCTTTAGAAACCAAGATGACTAAACCGAGACTGTCATACTGTCACCATATTACAGGGAGACATGATTCACTAGAAAAGACAATAATGTTTGGTTAGGTAGAAGCAATTAGAAAAAAGGAAGACCATTCTCCATATGAATGAACTTAGTCAAGATATTTGGTTGGACTGAGTCTGCAAAACCTGAGAAGGGCTATTGATGGGAGAGGTGACCTGGAAGTTTCTCATTCACCATAAATCACAGTTGACTTTATGGCAGTTAATAATAATAATGGCTTTGTAGTGACTAAAAGCATTAATCTCTATGGCTTACATTACATCCATCAGTGTAAATTATTTATATTTTCAGTCCCAGATTATGTCCTTCTGTCTGTCTTTCAAATAGCTGTGTTACTTCTGGATCAGAGAAGTATTCTGGTCGCCACCATGAAACAATAGCTCTGATGTTAAATCTTTCTGCTCGTCAGAAAAATCCCAAACATATCCAAGGGATTACCCAAACAGCAATTATTGCCCATGTGGGAAATAGTAAGTGCTTCTAAGTGCTATATCCTAAAAACACCCCTCCTCCCGTTTTTGACTATACGTATAACTCAGTGAACAGATCTGTGCATCTTTTTTCTTAAAGCATCTGTGTGTCTTTCTCTCCCTGTAGCTTTGATAAGCACTGCTTTAAAATTAGTCATTCAGGGTTTTTTTTGGTGAAGGTTAAGGTTTAAAGACATTAAAGTATAAATATTACGACATTTAGTGAGTAAAAACAGCAGTCGATTCAGCAAATATCCTCTATGGAAACTATCTTGAACCATTAGTAGAATGATCTTGGATGGATCCTTGAGGATGATTCTAATGGAATGAACAGCTTCTTTTTACAAGCAAATGTGAGTGGTGAAAAGTTGCTGTTATTTGGACAGAAAAAATATATTTTTGAAGAACTGTATTTCTTTAATTGTAAGATACCATTGATTGTAAGATGCACTCTAATTTCAGTACCACCATCACCACCCAAAATACATGAGATACATTGCAATTCTTAGATGCATTCCATTTTTTAGATATATTTATATAGCAAAAAAGTGCATCTTGAGCCCCTTCTATGCTTCCATACAAAATCCAGATTATCTGTTTTGAATGGGATTATATTTTTTATTTATTTATTTATTGTATTTATATCCCGTCTCTTCTCTAGCCCGAAAAGGGGACTCAGGACGGCTTACATAGGCAGCAATTCGATACCATTACATAAACAGTTAATACAATAACCATTAAACAAAAACCATAAAACCATTAAAATACATAAAATACATAAGCCGTTAATTAAACAGTATAAAATCTTAATTACCAATAAAACCGTATCCTCATGTAAATTGTCTTTCCAGTTCATTTCAACCAAAGTGCTGCTTTATGTCCGCTGACCAAAGGCCTGGTCCCATAATCATGATTTTACTTTCTTCCTGAAAGCCAGGAGGGATGGGGTCTATCGTATCTCATTTGGAAGCACGTTTCACAGGCAGGGGCCATCGCCAAGAAGGCCCTGTCCCTTGTCCCCACCAGCCGTGTTTGCAATGTTGGTGGAAGCGAGAGCAGCGCCTCCCTGGATGCTCTTAGGTTACGAAGTAGGACGTAGAGGCAGATGCGTTCAGACAACAACAACCGTAGGAGACAGTGTTCTCATACCCCGGGATTGCGGCATGGAGGGGGGGAGGTGTTCCACTAGCCGAGGGGCCCCCATAGAGGTCGTGGTGGGAAGGAGGAGATGCGGGAGAAGGAGACCCGAATTCGGCCTAATTCGGACCACTTATCTAAATTAACTATTCCCAAAAGATCTCCTAAGGTAAATTGGTGTAACCAGGTGAGCGGGCCCTCCGGCTTGAAGGTGGTGTTGTTGAACGCCAGGTCTGTCAACGGAAAAACAACTTGGATCCAGGATTTAATCCTGGAGGAGCGGGCAGATCTGGCGTGCATCACGGAGACCTGGCTGGATGAAGCGGGGGGCGTAAACCTCTCCCAGCTTTGTCCTCCAGGCTTCTCCGTGCAACACCAACCAAGAGCCGGAGGACGGGGAGGCGGTGTCGCAGTGGTCTATAGAGATTCCATCCATCTAACCAGGGGCCCCATCCCGCAGACCACAAATTTTGAATGCGTCCACCTGAGGGTGGGTGACCGGGACAGAATAGGGATTCTGTTAGTGTACCGTCCACCTCGCTGCACTACAGTCTCCCTACCTGAGCTAGCGGGGGTGGTCTCGAGCCTGGCGGTGGAGTCCCAACGGCTTCTTGTGCTGGGGGACTTCAACATCCACGCCGAGGCAACCCTCACAGGTGCGGCTCAGGACTTCATGTCCGCCATGGCAACCATGGGGCTGTCCCAACGAATAACTGGCCCCACCCACTGTGCTGGACATACATTGGACTTGGTTTTCTGCCAGGGATGGGAGCAGGGTGGCGGTGTGGAGGAGTTGGTCATCTCTCCGTTGCCGTGGACCGACCACTTCCTGATTAGATTTAGACTCACTGCGCCCCCTAACCTCCGCAGGGGTGGAGGACCCATTAAGATGGTCCGCCCCAGGAGGCTAATGGATCCGAATGGATTCCTGACGGCTCTTGGGGAGTTTCCCGCCACCTCGGTAGGTGCTCATGTCGAGGCCTTGGTCGCTCTCTGGAATGGGGAGATGACTAGGGCAATTGACATGATCGCTCCGGAACGTCCCCTCTCAAGTAACCGAGCTAAACCAGCCCCTTGGTTTACTGAGGAGCTGGCAGCGATGAAGCGAAAGAAGAGGGTTCTAGAGAGCGTGTGGCGCTCGGATCCAAGCGAGCCAAACCGAGCACGGTTTGTGTCCTTTTTAAGGGCATATGCCGTGGCAATAAAAGCCGCAAAGAAAACTTTCTTTGCGGCCACTATTGCGTCTGCAAAAAACCGTCCGGCGGAGCTGTTTCGGATTGTCAGAGGTCTTTTAACTCCCCCTATTTCAGGTGGGAGCCCTGACAACTCGGCAGCGCGCTGTGAAGCATTTGCTCGGTTCTTTGCAGACAAAGTCGCTTTGATCCGCTCTGGGCTGGACGCCACATTAAATGCAGTCTCTGTGGATGTGACACAAGCACCTGCTTGTCCGATTTTGTTGGATTCTTTTCAGTTTGTGAAACCCGAGGATGTGGACAAGATACTTGGAGGAATGAGGCCTACCACGTCCATCCTAGACCCCTGCCCATCCTGGCTTCTGAAGGAGGCCAGAGGGGGATTGGCTGAGTGGGTAACGGTGGTGGTCAATGCCTCCCTTCGGGAAGGCAAGATTCCAGCGAGCCTAAAACAGGCTATTATAAAACCGCTGTTGAAGAAACCATCACTGGACCCCACTAAATTGGACAACTTTCGGCCTGTTTCCAATCTTCCCTTTTTGGGCAAAGTCATGGAAAGCGTGGTGGCCTCACAACTCCAGGTATTCTTGAGAGACACGGATTATCTGGATTCCGGCACAGTCTGGTTTCAGACCGGGACATGGTACTGAGACGGTCTTGGTCGCCTTAGTGGATGATCTGCGCCGGGAGCGAGACAGGGGGAGTGTGTCCCTGTTGGTGCTCCTGGACCTCTCAGCGGCCTTCGATACCGTCGACCACGGTATCCTTCTGGGGCGCCTTGCGGAAGTGGGTCTTGGGGGCACTGCTTTGCAGTGGCTCCGGTCATTTCTGGAGGGTCGTACCCAGAAGGTGTTAGTGGGGGACTCCTGTTCAACACCACAGCCTTTGACCTGTGGGGTGCCACAGGGTTCCATACTGTCCCCCATGCTGTTTAATATCTACATGAAACCGCTGGGTGAGATCATCCGGAGTTTCGGGGTGCGGTGTCACCTGTACGCAGATGACGTCCAACTCTGTCACTCCTTTCCACCTGCTACTAAGGAGGCTGTCGAGGTCCTGAACCGGTGCCTGGCCGCTGTGACGGTCTGGATGAGGGTGAACAAACTGAAACTAAATCCAGACAAGACAGAGGTACTCCTGGTCAGTCGTAAGGCCGAACGGGATATAGGGTTACGGCCTGTGCTGGACGGGGTCGCACTCCCCCTGAAGGCGCAGGTCCGCAGCTTGGGTGTGACCCTGGACTCATCGCTGAGCCTGGACCCCCAGGTTTCAGCGGTGACCAGGGGAGCATTCGCACAGCTCCGGCTCGTGCGCCAGCTGCGCCCGTATCTCGGGAAGTCTGACTTGGCCACGGTGGTACATGCTCTTGTCACATCCCGCTTGGACTACTGCAACGCTCTCTACGTGGGGCTGCCCTTGAAAACGGCCCGGAAGCTTCAGCTGGTTCAGCACGCGGCAGCCATGCTACTAACTGGAGCGAGGGGCAGGGAGCACACAACGCCCTTGTTGTCCCAACTCCACTGGCTGCCGATTTGCTACCGGGCCCAATTTAAGGTGCTGGTTTTGGCCTACAAAGCCCTAAACGGTTCCGGCCCAAAATACCTTTCTGACCGCATCTTGGCCTACGAGCCCACGAGGACCTTGAGATCGTCTGGGGAGGCCCTTCTCTCGATCCCGCCGGCGTCACAGGCACGGCTGGCGGGGACGAGGGAAAGGGCCTTCTCGGTGGTGGCCCCCCGGCTGTGGAACACCCTCCCGATACACGTCAGACAGGCGCCCTCCCTCATGTCCTTTCGGAAGAGCCTTAAGACCTGGCTGTTTGAAAGGGCATTTAATTAAGTGCTAAGCAACAAATAATACGGTAATGAGAACTGGAATGGAACAAGGATGATGAGATTGGCTATGATTCCACTAAGAGACGAAGCGGATTTTTTGTGTAGTCTGTAATTGTTGTATTGTTATATGTTTTGATACTGGCTTTGTAATTTTGTCTTTTATGTGTACTGTACACCGCCATGAGTCGCCCGTATGGGCTGAGAATGGCGGTCAATAAGTGCATCNCGCCACGAGTCGCCCCTAGGGCTGAGAGTGGCGGTTAATAAGTGCAAGAAATAAATAAATAATAAATAAATAAGTAAGCTGGGCCAGAACCGTATATATGACAGTGTAGACTCATATAATCCAGTTCAAAGCAGATCATTGTAGATTATCATGTGCTTTGAGAATCTGGATTATGAGGCAGTGTAGAAGGCGCCTTAGAATTGATGAAATACAATAGCATCATCTGTTTATGTAGCAGTTGACAACATAATTCCCCAAAAGGGATTCCTGTCCAAGAGGAAATACTTCTTTTATGTGATGCAGAAACAAAAAATAAATAACAAAGGAATAACAATAACAACCATAGTAACTTTTCATAACCATTCTTGCCAGGAATGAAACATATTGAGATCTAAGTGGTATTTCATTTTTCTAGTTTTATGTACTCCCCATTTCTTCAAAAATCTCAGAGTGGTACATGTGTGTGTGTGTGCACATGTGCATTCACATATGTATCTGCTTCTCAACCTATGGCAACCTCACTAATTTTTGTAGGGTTTTCTTAAACAAGGAATACTCAAAGGTAGTTTTCCCAGATTTTATTTCATTTGGAAGAGACAGATCATTGGAGGTATGTGTTGCATATATACAGGATTTTTTGTAAGCATACATTTGCCTATATGAGCATAGGTGTAGCATTTGACATGGCTAAAAAATGCCAATTGGTGGCCCTTTATCGGATCCTCAGTATCCCCACTGCTTTTGTCTTGCAGCTCAGTGCTTGTGCTCACTTGCCTTTTCCCCACCTTGATCGTTTTGTCTGTGTCTCGAACTGTGTTTTATCTGTTCTTCCTTTTCACAGATGCAAACAGATGTTGGTCAGCCCATCCTAGAGAGATCTCTGGATCTCTTCCATTTGACAAAGCACCAGCCATCTCTCTGGAGCAATTAGCCAGCAGCTGTCTCTCCCTAATACATGAAGGTATGGCCAGAAAAAGACTGGCCATAAAAATCATGCACTGTTGTTACACTGGACTTTAGACAGCTTTCCCTTTCCTCCTTGTAAACATGTTGGCTCGACTACTTACCTTCCTACGTGGAACAATGTAATTATTTTGCATGCAACTAATTATCTGTTCAGACCATAATTCCTCTTTTTGGCAGCAGTCCATAGGAGCTAGACGGATGCAGATATTGCATGCAGACAAGTTGGTAGACCGGTAGAGAAGGGAAGGAGTGCTCCATTTGCAGACAGCTGAGAAACTATAGACTGCTCGAACTGAAAAGCCCTTCTTCTCTATGCCAAGCAGAGAAATGCATATCTCCCCTTTCTTTGTCAGCCCCAATAGACTACTAAAAACCTTTGCGGGCAATTAACATATTTATAAGTCTGCTACTCGGTACATCACTTTTATGCCGTTTTATTGCTTTCTGGTTGTGTTATGTTACGATGAGATAAGCCATTGTCTTCCTAGTGTTTTTGAATTAAATATGCTTCTCTCCAATTCCCCTTCCCCCATTTCCCCCTGATATCTTACCATCTCTCTCCACATTTTATATGAAGAGAAAACTCTACATGATCGCAGCAGGAACAATAGGAGGGATATACCTTGTTGGCATCACTGCCCTTTTCTTTGGAGTGAAGGAAAAAATTGGTGTGTACCTCGTTGAATACTGCCCAACATTCAATACTCTGGTGTCCTATTTTCAAAATGCGATATCATTTATTTGTGCGCATTTCACTCCTTATAGACCCATATGCCTTGAAAACAGACCGAAGAATTTCTTTCTTCGGTGGACATAAGCTGGCAATGAAGTATGGGCCGTATGTGAAGTTCACTGCATCATTTCTCCTGATCTCAACTGCTGTCCAGGTAATCCTGGTTTGTCAGGGATCTTGCAGCAGCATGTCTTGTACTTATATCTCTTACAAAGAAACATGGAGCTTATCTACACTGCTTGTTTAATCCGTAGCTAGTCCAGAAGCAGCCACTCACTCATCATACTCATCAAATAGGTCCAGCTCATTTGCACGACTGCATCTCCCCCTATGAACCCACCCAGGCTTTAAGTCCGTACCTTGGGAGGTCGGACTTGGCCATGGTGGTCCGTGCTCTCGTTACATCTGGGATAGACTACTGTAACACTCTCTATGTGGGATTGCATTGAAGATTGTTCGGAAGTTTCAAATAGTCCAACGAGAGGCAGCCAGGTTAATAATTGGAGCGGCATACAGGGAGCATACAACTCCCATGTTATATCAGCAACACTTCTTGCCAGTTTGCTACCAAACACAATTCAAAGTGCTGGCTTTGGCCTATAAAGCCCTAAACAGCCCCGGTCCAATTTACCTGTCCGAATGCATCTCCCTCTATGAACCATTGCAGAGATTCTCCGGGGAGGCCCTGCTCTCCGTCCCGCCACTGTCACAGGCGCAATTGACGGAGACGAAAGAGAGGACCTTCTTGGTGACTGCCCCTTTGGCTATGGAACTCCCTTTCCTGGTGAGATCAGATCGGCCCCCTCCTTCCTGTCCTGTTTAAAACTTGGCTGTGGGACTAAGCTTTTAACACAGTGCAATAAGGCAGCAATAGTAAACCTTACCATGCCAACTAGATTTGATGCAGGTGATTGAGACAGTTTTAAACAGTGGATTTAAATGTCGAGATAAATTAGTTTAATGTTTATGTCTGCGTATAATTTATTTATGTGCTGATATTGAATGTTTGCCATTTGTATGTTGTGCTCCACCCTGAGTCCCCTTTGGGGTGAGAAGGACAGAATATAAATGTTTTAAATAAATAAATAAATAAATGGCCCTCTAGGGAGGCCCTTCTCACAGTCCTACCACTCTCACCAGCGCGGTTAGTGGAAATGAGGGAAAGGGCCTTCTCGGTGGTGGCTTCCCTGCTCTGGAATTCTTCTCAGCCCTGGATGCCTGCCATAGATGCAGGAAAAATGAGAGAATGCTTCTAGAACATGGCCGTAAAGCCCAAAAAAGCTACAATAACCCAGTGATTCTGGCCATGAAAACTTTCGACAATACATTGTTAATGGTATCATGAAATGGGGTGCCTACACCCATCCTTGTGTATCTTGAAAGCAAAAGAGCATATTTTTGTGGACGACACCCTCCACTAATCATAATAGCTGTACAATTATGGTGTAGTCTTAACTGTTTGTTGTCTAAAAGCATTGAATAGTTGCCTTATGTAAAGCCACCTTGAGTCCCCTTGAGGGTAGAGAAAGGCGGGACACAAATAGAGTAAGTTAATAAATAAATGCAATTGTGGGAGGTTTTTTTAAAATGTATTAAAATTAAACAATAACTGTCCAATGCAAAGATATATGTGGATAGGTGCTTACTGTATTGTAAATGAACACACTTTAATTGTTATATCAACCTATTAATGTGCGTTCTTGTTGAGAAAACATGCATTCCAAACATGAAACTTGATTTGAATCAATTTTACTTATTCACATCCTGTTGATAACTAATATAACATGTTGTTCATATTTTTTGTTTTGTCTTCAACTCACCAGCTTGAACAAAGCAACTTTGTCCTCTTTTGTACCCATGCAGCTGATCTTCATAGCCACTTTCAGAACTTAGTAGTGACAATTTTGGTAAGTGAGTAGAAAAAAAGACCTTTTGTTGTTACAGTCTCATTTTCATAAAACTGTTGCTAAATAGGTATATACGAGGGTTGAATGAAAAGTAATGCCTCCACCTTCATTACTTGGGCTTGGAAGGGAATATTTTAATAAATTAAACGCAGAAATAATCCTTAGAATGTGCTCTTTAGCTACCACTATTCACTTTTCCACATAATCACCAGACAATTGGATACATTTCTGCCAACAATGAACAAGTTTTCTGAAGCCGACACAGAAGAAGTCGACACTCTGTTTCTGCAATCAGCATCTTAAAGGTCTCCCAACATCTTCATCAGAAGCATAATGATGTCCCCACAGACCTTCTTTCATTATTGAGAACAAATGGAAGTCAGACGGTGCTAACTTTGGACTGTATGGAGAATGCCGTATGGTGGTGAGATCCAGTCTCTGAAGTTTCAAGTCTGAGCGCTTTCATTTCAGGCGTCAGCATCCTGGGTACCCATCGTGCACAGATTTTCCAATAGCCAAGCAAAGCAATAATGTGACCCACATATTCTTGTGAAATGCCAATTATGCTTGAAATTTCTCTCTGAGTGATACGACGATTGTCCTGAATCAATCTGTCAACATTTTGCTTGTGAAACTCGGTGGTTGCTGTCACAGGACATCCAACTCTTTGTCACACAAGTCAGATGTTCCCACCTCAACATCTTTAAACCTTTTCACCCAATGACACACAGTACTCACATCAACACAACCACCATAAACAGCTTGCATTCTCTGATGAATCTCCTTTGAGGTGGGACCTTCTGCTGTCAAGAATTCAATGACTGCACATTGCCAGGGGCGGCTCAACCCATTACACAAAGTAAGCATTTGCAGTATAGTTGATTTTGCCCAGGGGCGCTAGTGAAGTGCTCTTGGGGAAAAATAGACCTTGACATATGCGAGTTGTAGTTACTGGGATGTATAGTTCACCTACAATCAAAGAGCATTCTGAACTCCACCAATGATGGAATTGAATCAAATATGGCACACAGAACTCCCACGACGTTTGGGGGGGGGGGAGGGTGGCTCCAAATTACTGTTTGCTTACTGTTGAAAATTACCTAGGGTCGCCTCTGCACATTGCTTAAGTCACATTGACCGATTGTCTGTGCCGGGTTCCATACTTTGCACTTTAACAACACAACTGTTCAATGCTAAGGCTTCCCGCCATAATGGAACTGTAGAGGAGAGTCTACTGAACAAATCAGTACCTGCCGCATACCAGTACTGCCATCTGTTGAGTTACGAAGGTGGAGGCATTACTTTTCATTCATCCCTCATAAGCTTATTTTGAAATTGGGGTAGATTACAACACTTTTTTGGCATATTTTCTAGAAGGAAATCTCCGTGGTGTTCACTCCCAATTGTGTTTTTTTAGAATTCTAGCTTTGAAATCCAAAGAAGCACGTTCATTCCAGTCCTCATACTGAAACTTCTGCACTATATCATATTTGCTATTCATATTATCCCCTAGCTTTCAACACCCACAGTTTAATCTACAGCCTTGACATCTCTGCATCTTTTCCTGAAAAATATTCCTTATCTTTTGACTAGATGGCACTACTACATTTCAAAAAGTACTCAGGTCTCATTTGCAAGGCTAATGGAAATTGTGGTCATTAAATCAGAGGGCTAACTCCTCTGGAGCAATGTGATATCATGTGTGAACGTATTGTCAGTCAAGTGCTGTGGAGACAGCTGACAGCCTAGTTGATCAGTAAGAAAGAGATAAGTGTCGATCTTACATCACTTAGAGTAAATCTACACTGTAGAATTAATGCCGCCTGACAGCGCTTTTACTACTATGGCTCAATGTTATGGAAACTTGGTATTTGTAGTTTGACGAGACATTAACGCTCTTTGACAGGAAAGTCTAAAGACCATGTAAAACTGCAACTCCCACAACTCCATTGAGACATGGCACTTTATGTGGTGGAGCTACAATGTGGATTATGCCAAGACAAGAGATAGCAGAGCACAATCAACATGTGGCCAATTCAAGAAATGACTGATAGCAAATATTTGCAAGAGTGCAAAATTCACTTAATTTGACTTTTGAATTTTGCAATTCATTCTCGTGGTATCTGTGGAATGCACACATTTCGTCCCATCTTTATTTTATTTTTTTATCGTGTCAGAAGTGACTTGAGAAACTGCAAGTTGCCTCTAGTGTGAGAGAATTGGTTGTCTGCAGATACATTGCCCAGATGTATTACCATCCTGTGGGAGGTTTCTCTCATGTCCCCACATGAGAAGCTGGAGCTGACAGATGAGAGCTCACCCCATCTTGTGGATTTGAACTGCCGACCTTCAGGTCAGCAGTTCAGCTGGCACAAGGGTTTAACCCATTGCGCCACTGCGGCTCCTTCCCATCTTTCTTGAATTCACACAATGAGATCTGCTTGGGGTGATACGTAAAACTTTTCACATTTTGTCTGGAGATAGTATTTCTGGCTTGTACATTCCTCCTGATCACTAAAAATATGTTTTCTCTTCTATGTTGACACGGGTTTCCTGAAATGTTGACTATTCTGACTAGTGATGGTATTTCTTAATCTTCTTAGCCATCCCACCTGGCCACTATAAAACATGTTCCCCCTTCTCAGTTGTATTACTTTCTTTATTATACACAGGTATCAGCAACACTGAGCATTCCTTTCTGGCAATGGTTTCTCAGGCACTTTGGCAAAAAGAGTGCAGCCTGTGGGATATCGGTAAGTAAGACCCAAACCCACTCCCCAGATCAACACAAAAACCTGCTCAAACAGGCTGTTTGTTCACAGCTATTTAATCCAAGTAAGCATGTGGATTGGGGAGAACCATTTCACTGCTGAGTGCTTACACAGGCCAGTTCCAAACTAGGATGGTGCCACAAAGATCATCTGAGTATGGATCAATTCAATCCAAGGAATATCAAGTCCCTCTGCGGAGGTCGAGATAGGACGGGATACAAATGTCCTAAATAAATAAATAGCTGCTTTGAGTCCCCTCTGGGGTGAGAAAGGCAGGGTAGAATATGGCCATGTTCTAGAGGCATTCTCTCCTGACGTTTTGCCTGCATCTGTGGCAAGCATCCTCAGAGGTAGTGAGGTCTGTTGGAACTAGGAAAATGGGTTTATATATCTGTGGAATGGCTGAGGTGGGGCAAAGAGCTCTTCTCTGCTGGAGCTAGGTGTGAATGTTTAAACTGACCACCTTGATTAGCATTTGATGGCCTGGCAGTGCTTGGGGCAATCTTTTGTTGAGAGGTGATTGGATGTCCTTGATTGTTTCCTCTCTGTTGTTTTGCTGTTGTAATTTTATATTTTTTAAATACTGGTAGCCAGATTGTACATCCCCAATGCAAACAACAAACAAATAAAAGCCAGCTTTAAATGAAATGTTAGTGCCTGTGCAGAGGAGGCCATGTGCACATGTAAAGAAATCTAGATTTTCCAGAAGAGTGTGAGGCAAGAGGTAATCTTTTAAACTTTAATTTAAATCCTCAGGGGTGTAAAAGAACTCAACTGAATCCTCAAATACATTGTGTGTTATGCCAGCACTGGATATGAAGTGAATGCAATTTGTTTTTGCCTGTGTAGATAACCCCTGAGACCTTCAGGTCCTTGCTTCAAGGAATATTCATTTACTTTAATTACAATTAATTTAAGCTTCAAATCAGAACTGTATTACAGTCATAGGAGGGTGGGGTACAGTCTCATAAATGCATAATACATTAAAATCATTAATTTAAGTGATGGCAAATGTTATGGTTTAGTTAAGGGGAGGAAATGCAACAAGAGAAGTGGACAACTGGGCGCTTAACCTTTCTGCAGTTTTTTGTCCATTTGATTTTCCTTAAACCAGAGAACCTCTCGATTCCCTAAAGCCTTGCTTGGTAGTCCTTTGCTGGTTTCTCCTTCCCCACATACTTCTGCTTAGCATACCATGTAATTGCTCACCCAAATGAGCTAATTATGCAGTCTCTTCTTATTGGCAGCTTCTGAACTGTGTCAGGAAAATGCTTTATTACTGCAAATTGTCAATTACAGTTAATAGGAAGAACAAGAGCAATTGCTACCCACAGCCATTCGTCTAGAAATACTTACACATCAGTGCTGAGTTCTTTTCCTGTCTTCTTGGGTTATGCTAGCAAGATTCTCAGAAAATTAGTCTTGAGTTTATCTCCTTTTGGGTCATATTACTTCCCTAGGTTTATCCATTTCTGAATACTTTGGTTTCTGAGTGGACAAATGTTGCTGCAGTGCTGAATCTTCCTTCTGGCCACATTGCAATTTTGTATTATTAGAGTGCTCTCTTGTGGCGAAATTATGTTGAACACTGTAGGCTAATTCAAGTATTATGCAACTCTGTTTTTCCTCTTCCAGAGTTCAGTAGCTCAGTGGCTCTTTTGCTTTGATTGTATAGAGCAGGGGTCCTCAAACTTTTAAAACAGAGGGCCAGGTCACCGTCCCTCAAACTCTTGGAGGGCCGGATTATAATTTGAAAAAAACATGAATGCATTCCTATGCACATTGCACATATCTTATTTGTAGTGCAAAAAACACTTAAGAACAATGCAATAATTAAAATGAAGAACAATTTTAACAAATATAAACTTATTAGTATTTTAATGGGAAGTGTGGGCCTGCTTTTGGCTGATGAGATAGGATTGTTGTTGTTGTTGTTGTGTGCTTTCTAGTCATTTCAGACTTAGTTTGACCCTGAGCGAGGGCCGGGTAAATTACCTTGGAAGGCCATATCCGGCCCCCGGGCCGTAGTTTGAGGACTCCTGGTATAGAGAGAGAACTATTTCGTCCAGTGTTTCTCAACTTGGGGGTTGGGACTCCTGGGGTAGAGTCACGAAGGGGTTTCAGAGGGGTCACCAAAGACCATCAGAAAACATACATTTACATACCCTTTGGCAGAGAAGGCTGAAGGTCTCTCCACCCGTCTTTCTCTTCCTTTTTGGAAACAGACGGCAAATCCTCCCACCAAAAGCCCTCCTCCGCTGTGATTGGCCGGCCTCTCAGCCAATGTGAGGGCTGTTTCTTGGACTCCAAGTGGGGAGGGGAGAGCAGGCATAATGCACCTGTGCAGGCGAGGGAGAGCGTGTAAGATTGGAAGGAGGTTCGCACCAGTGAGTTCCTTCAAGGCATTTGAGTTCTGTGTGGGAAGTTTGGCCCAATTCTATCATTGGTGGGATTCAGAATGCTCTTTGATTGTTGGTGAACTATACATCCCAGCAACTACAACTCCCAAATGTCAAGGGTGTTTTCCCACCAGTGTTCACATTTGGGCATATTGAGTATCTGTGCCAGGTTTGGTCCAGATCCATCATTGTTCGGCTCCATGGTACTCTCTGGATGGAGGTGAACCTCAATTCCAAAACTCAAGGTCAGTGCCCACCAAACCCTTCCAGTATTTTCTGTTGGTCATGGGAGTTCTATGTACCAAGGTTGGTTCAATTACATCGTTGGTGGAGTTCAGAATGCTCTTTGATTGTAGGTGAACTATAAATCCCAGCAACTACGACACCCAAATGACAAAATGAATCCCCCAAACCCCACCAGTATTCAAATTTGGACATATCAGGTATTTGTGACAAATTTGATCCAGTGAATGAAAAGACATCCTGCATATCAGATATTTACATGGCAATTCATAACAGGAGCAACATTACAGTTATAAAGTAGCAATGATTTTTTTTAATGGTTGGGGGTCACCACAACATTGGTGTGGCAACACCAGAGGCACTCCAAGTGGCCAGATACTGATCAAAGGACATTTAATCAACTACCAAGCTTTCAAACTTTGTGTTTTGCCTGTTTCTTTGTTTGTTTTGTTAAAAATGTAATACAACTGCCTGGTTGCTCCTGACACGATAAATAAACCACAACATGAGGGGTCATGGCATTAGGAAGGTTGAGAAACACTGATCTAGCCAGAAGGGCCCCATCAAACTGTTTTAAAGAAATAGCAGTGTTAGTCTGTGTTTGCCTAAAAAGGAAACTTAGGAAGGAATTTAGCAGAACATATAAAACATTTATTTTAAAGTGTTCATGGAAATTGTTCAGATTAAAAAAAACAACTGGTTTACTCATGAATTTTAACTGGTTAACCAAATCCCCATGCAAAAAATTAAGAGTCCCTCCAGAACTGCAAGCACTATCTCAAGCATATTTTGATAATTTATTCACACTGTCATTACTTGCAGCAATAGCCGATGTAGCAAAGCAACAAAGTTGGGGGGGGGGGGGGGG